CTGTCAGCCAGAGCTGACCAGTGAGGGAAAGGGATTGCCTGGGCCAATGGGTCAGCAAAACCGGAGTCCCAGTTCCAACCCTTGTTGAGTGAGTCACATTTCAAGTGGTCTCTGGATATGAGGTGCCCCAGGGAGATGCTTTGTGGAGGCACAGGGGCAGCTGCAGCTACTGCTTAACCCCCCTGCAAGCCGGAATCTCTATGTCCTGTCTCTTGTGCCACTAGTGCAATTAGTGTATTAATGAATTTGGCCCTTTCTACAGTGGAGTGCTGTTTGGTGATGGCAGAAAGTGAGAGAAAACAAGACAAGCAAAAGGAAAGCAGATGTTTCAAGGGGGGAGAGGGTGGGTGGGGATTCAAGTAGCCTAGCCTAAATATCTGCAGAGCGGAGATGTCTCACACCAAACACAGTCGCAAGGGACAAGGAAACTGTGGAGTCAGATAAATATGAAAAGCAAGGTAGGGAGGAAAGGTGATGATGGATACAGGAAACCTAAGAAAGGAGGAAGGCACCTCCAAAGAGGCACCCAAAAGGACTGGAGATCTGTGAGCAGAGGACTGTGCTGCTCTGTCATCCAAAGGATGCCTGGGCCAGCAGCAAAGAAAAATATTCTTTACAAAGTAAGTGTGCAAGAAATGTTGGAGAGAAGAAAAGTGTTATTACTTACTACTTTTGCCCTGGGGAGGAAAAGAGAAAGGTGCATATAAGGTTACCTGTCTGCTTTTGGGGACCCTAGAAAGCTGGGAGAGATCCCTTTGAAATGGGAATATCTCTTGGCAGATTGTATATGAAGCTTCCCAGCATTTGCCTCCAGAAACAGAAAAACAGATGGAAAGAGACCCAGCAGGGAAGTGAAATCTCATTTATCTGCACAATGCCATCCTCCTGGCTCCAGCCAGCTCTCTGCATGTCAGCTACCATAGAGCCTACCCCGTCCATTCTGCTCCAGGCCTTCCCAAGCCCATCCATCACCCTATGGCTTCTTATTTACAGGGAGCCTGGCACAAAAAGCTGGGTTTATTGTCTATCATCTCTGCCACACATGCATGTACACACCCATGTAGATGCACATACACTTTGTCTATTGCTGCAGCTTGGGATTGTCTGGAGTCCAGGAAATCTTTATGCATTCCATTGTCTGGAGTCCAGGAAATCTTTATGCCTTCCTGCCAAAGTCGGAGCTTATCAGAGCCAAAAAGAAATCTGGCCCAGAGTATGTGCTTGGGTCTAGTTTGGTTCAGCCCTTGAGCATACAAACTGAAACATTTGTGGTCTGGGGTGATAACGGATCTTCATAGTCTCTATTTCTTGGTCCAAGAGTTTTGTTCCTCTTGGCTGTGACATGAAGAATATATGTGAAAAGTTAAAGCTACGTATCATGTTTTAAGTCATATATGTGAATGAACATAGGCAATCTGATGTTCCTGCTTTGTCAAATACAAAACAAATGCAGCAGGGGCAGTTTCAGAGCCTATTTCAGAGCCAAAGTGACATAACTGTATTTACAGGGGGAAAACATGCTCGAGTTTCTGTGTGCTTACTCAGTCTTTAGCTGCCCTGCAGGATTGCAAGCAGAGAGCAGAGTAATAGCAGTTGTATCAGTCAGTCCAGAGAAAGAGTCTGCCCACAGGGAAAGTTAGCCAAGATGCAAAAAACAACTTAATTTCCTTTACACAGTTGTGACCATCCACTACTAACCCAAAATGGATCAGAAACAGTGGCTGAGAGACAGCACTGCAGCTCACTCATCATCCCCGAGCCTGCACCCTGGGTAGCTTATCTTTGCTTTACACATTTTCTTGTTAGTAGGCAGATTTGCTACCTCAAGAGGCAGGTGGCTCCTAATCCTGAGGGTATATAAAGGAAGTGCAAGGCAGGGGGTGAGGTAAGGAGGATGTAGGTCTGGTGTTGTGAAGAACTACAGGGGCAGCTTAGCTTGGCAAGTACTTCAGCTATTTCCTGTATTAATATACAGACCTTAAGAAGAGGATGAATTCTGGACTTCTTGTAACATGTGTGTTTGTTTTAGAGCAATTTAGGACAGGCATCTCCTTACAAGGCCAGACTTCTTTCTGCCTGGCATATGTCTCAGGGCAGAATTTCACCCTTTGCAGAAAAGGTGCATCAGCAGTGTGAGAACATCGCTGTCACCTACATCAACAAGCCCAGGGCTAGCACGGACTTCTTTTGTGGTCTGTGGTCGTGACAGAGGAGAGGGTGGCATTTACTCTAGTGCTCAGACATTGAGGAACCTGAGCACTGAGGAGAACTAGGGATGCTGTTGTGTTATCCAGCTGACTTTTGGAGGCATGAATTTTATGGCTTCTGTAGGGTAAGAAAAATGAAGGAGGTATGAAGAGGCTTCTGAAGTTAAAGATAGATCACGGCATGGAAACAAGCGGTTAAGAGAAGGCTGGGACTTCTGTGCCTCTCATGCAGCAGTGTTGCATTAACCCAAGGTAGCAAAACTTGTCCATGCACTGTTTTGGTTTGGAAAACAGCTCAGACCTCCCCTGGAGACAGTGCAGTACAGGTATTTATCTGCATTATTAATGCAAGATTCCTGGTGACACACTAACACAGCATGTTAGCCTGCCCTCTCTGCCAGGGCAGAGATGAGGGAACCTGTGTGCTCTAGCTGCACTTTCATCCTGTGTCATGCCAACAAGACAGCTGGGCAACGTAAATAAATGCCCCCTACACTTTGAAGCAGACCTTCTGTTTAACTGCCCTGCAGCATTTAGCTGCTTTCTAACTCCCGCTGAAAACCAGAATCCACAGCTAATGTGTCTGTCAGGTTCACCATCAAAGGGCCCATGTCTGTGTGAGTGAGATTGGAGACACCTGCCTTGCGTTCTCTTTGCACTTGTTCTCTCCTCTTGGCATTTTGCCTACAGATGAAAAGGTAAGATGCTGTTTCCAGCTCTTTGAGTTGTTCTCAGTGATGCCTTGAATCCAGCTGGTTTGCTCTGGTTCTTAAAGAGAAAATCCAAGGAAAAAAAAACCCCAAAACTGTGGATACAGAGCTTGGGGTTTGCTTGATTGCTATTTGTTCCATTGGTTTTGAAGCAGGACTTCAAGTGCTTCGTTAATAGATTTAGCTGCTGGTCTGGTTTTCCTTTGTCCCAGGTAGCTGCCAATAAAATAACTATTTCATAGTGTTATGCCTTCAGCAAAGGAACTACCCAGCACCCCCTAAATCTCTCCTCAAATAGCAGTTTGTCATCCTTTGTGGCCAGTAGAAAGATCTGCTTTTCAGACACTGCACTAAAGAGGAGGCCGCTGTGGTGCCTACCTCTTTCCAAGAGAGGTCTGGACTGAAAATTTCCTCCCAGGCTCTGAGCAATAAGAGAGATGAATCTTGGAAAGGCAGAATCGGCTGGTGAATGAGTAAGCAGGGTTTTCAGTTAAGAGGACGAAGATATCTCCCTCTAAACTCCCCAGATGCTCCATAAGGCTGGGGCTGCTGTGATGGCAGAGGTTTCACTGACTCAAAACACTCCAAATCTGTCTCATAGGTTGAAAGAAAAGAGGAAAGCAAGAGCCAAGGCCGTTCTTAGGGTGTGCCCTGTCAGCTCAACAAAAAGGCACTGAGATTGGCCTCAAAGGATGTTACCTGCTGCCCTTCACAGGTGACAATGGCTGGTCAAGCAGCAAAGCACCCAGAGAAGGGAGTACAAGCCATTGTAGTTATGCAGCAAAGTGGTTCACCTGATGAACAGCCAGATGGAAATCAGGTGCAATTGGGGGCTGGAGTGCAGGAAGGATGGGGAGGAGGTTGAGGGAAGAGCTGTGGCTGTAACTTTTTGACAGTAGATCTCAAATGTAAGCATAGGCCTGTTTTTCTGACAGTCAGCGTCACAGGGAACTCTGGCTTTACGTGTGCCTTTATGCTGCCTAGCTGGAGAGGGACAGTCTGAGAAAGCTACCCCAAAGTGAAAGGCTGCACTGGAAATGCTGAAAATCCCTTTCCTCCTTTTGTGGGAAAGGACAGGGGACAACGTCCTAATTGGAGAAGTGTCTGACTTGTGCAGTATACCAAAGCTATGTTTCCTAACACAAACATGGGGCTGAAGGAAGACCCTCCAAAACATTACAGTGAAGCAGAATGAATGAGAATAGTCTGTAGCCATTGTGCTGAGGGATTCACTCTCGGTGTTCTTTGGACTTAAATTACCCTCCCAGTGACAGCCTCACCTCGTGGGGTGAGGTGAGGTGAAGTGACCTGTGCAGGGTCAAGGAGGGAAAGTGGGACAAGGTAGAGAAAACTCAGCCTGCCTCCTTTGACCTGTAGACCAGCATCCCCTGCTCTGCTGACAGCAGGAGATTTGTTTCTCTGCTACGCTGTGAGGTATCAGCACAAAATTTCCAGTGTTTTTTCCTTCCCTTGATCAGTTTCAGCCACCCTGAAGCAGTACGTGTGTGCATGTGCGTCTCTGTCTTGAGCTGCTCAGGGGTTGTTGCTGGTCCTGCGAGGCCACCATCTGCCTCCGGTTCTGTTATTCTTGACATCTTCATTGCAAGGAAACCAGCTGAGAGGAGAGGCCAGTGCCAGCCAGGCCCAGGATGCCAACCTGGCAGCAAAGAGCCCTAGCCAGACAGCTGGTGCTGCGCAGGCGGCTGAGGAGCTGTGTCCTGCAGGAGCCAGCCTCCCCAGTCCCTCAGATGGCAGGCTGAGAATGGGAGGGTAGGGGGGCTAGTCAGGAATCAAAGGGAAATGTCCTACTGATTGATGGCCCTCATTTGCACATGAAACTGGGACCTCTCAGCCCTGCAGGCCCTGCACGTGTGCCTCAGCTGCTGTAACCAGGACTGGGAGAGGAGGAGGTAACCAAGGAGGGGAAAAAAATCACTTCCAGCTCTGGACACCATAGCTGTTTTAACCTAAGTGTCCTAGGTCTGAATCTTGCTTGCCTTTACAGTTTACTGTTCCTAGAAGTTGGTTTCTTATTTCTTTTTTTTTTTTTTTTAATTACAGGTGAGGCAGAGCACTCAGCATTATGGCAACTTCTTCCACCTTCTTCTCTCCTTTCCTTTTCCTGTGCGTGCTGGTTCTTTCTGACATCAGTCCTGCAGTCTCCCTGGACTCTGGCACAAAGCTCAAAAATGTCCCAGAGAACAACAACCATCTTCAAAACCAAGAGATGTGGCTGCCACAGCCCAGAAGTGGGCACCACCACAAGCATGGCTTAGCCAAGAAGGAGAGGGTCCATGCCATGCCTTCTAGAGGGCGGCCAGCTGGGGAAGAGGCCCTCAGAATGGGGAGCGGAGCTCCAGCTGCGGAAGAACTGGCAGCAGAGGGACAGCCGGCAGCCCTGAAACAGAATAAGGATGTGTTCCTGGGGTTTGAGTTCCCATATCCTGAGAGAGAAAACCAGTCTCCTGGGTCTGAGAGAGGAAAGAAGCAGAACCGAGAGCATCGGCGACACAGCCGCAGGGACAGGCTGAAACACCACAGAGGTATTTGAGCTCCAAGGGAAGCTGAGGCTGTTGGGTCAGTGGAAATGAGTGTCACTTGTCTGAGGGCAAGAAGATGCAGCTGTGGTTGAGCCACATGGGTATGTGGAGGGTGTGGGATGTGTGCTTGCTCTGGGGAGAAATCTGCCAAACAAAAGAGGCACAAGAAAAAAGGGGAACTCCAGAACCAGAGGTTTTTACTGCTGGCTGCAATTTTGGGAAAATGACCTGGTTTGCCTTACAGGGGGAGCTCTGAAAGTTCTTAAGCCTTGAGGGGTTGTTGTAGGGTGGCCTTCTTTGTTTTTTGGGGTTTTTAGCAAATGGTTCAATTTATGAATAAACATGTCCAAGCCATGCTCAATCCCTCCACTGGCTTCAAAACATGACCAGAACTAGCAATTAATACAAAACCCCTACTTTGCTTGAAGATCAGTTTGCTCTCATCAGAGCTGGAATTCTTCTATATTTATTCTGAACTGCAAAAATATAAATTTTGCATATGTGAAATTGCACTAATTACTTTAAAATGTTGCTTGGTTTTGACTGGAACTGCTTTCCTTTGCAGGTCAAGTTGTGGGTGTGTGTCTCAGTGGTATGGTGTGCTCGGTGTGGTAAATCTTTGGTGCTATTAAAGCCAGGCAGTTTGTGTCAATCTATGCTATTTGACAAGCTAGGTGTCAGTATCCCTGAGTTCCAGCTATCGCTCCTCCCTGCGTCAGTAAGAAGAGCTCTATTGTTTTCTCAGGGGACTGACTAATCAACTCATGTTAAGCCATATAGAAGAGCGTGCAACAAAGCTGGTTTGAAGCAGTATTTGCAGGCTACAAAACAAGCTTTGTTTCTTTGGTTTAACTTAAGATCTATATTTAAATTAATACTTAGGAAAAGCAGGGATCAGGCTGTGAAGATACTCTTATTTCAAATTAGGTAGGTCCTGACAAGCTACATTGAAATAATCCAGTACTAAAATCAAATAAGAATGTGTTCACAGGTATTTGCAGCAGCTTAATCCATTGGGTTAAAAATGGTTAAACAGGTACATTTTGTACTCTTGAGACCAGAAGAAGAAATCTTTTGCTTCTTAAGCAAGAGATGGACATATCTTCAAGAAGGTGTGATTATGTATGACTTAAGTGTGTAAAAATCAAGATGCATATATTCTAGACCTGATCTATGACTTTAATTTAATAGCACATGACTGTTTTACACTGGGCTAAACAGCAGCTCAGGGATGAGAAAGCTAATGCCACTGTACCTGTTGTCCTTTGCAGGGAAGACTCCTGATGCTGGGCCAAGCTCTCTGTACAAGAAACCAGAAAGCTTTGAAGAACAGTTTCAAAACCTCCAGGCAGAGGAAGCTACAAGTCTGACTCCCACCATGCTTCTCATCACTGCACTGGAATTAGCTGCTTCCACAGAAGAGCCTCCTGTTCTTCCAGCCACATCACCACGGTCACAGGTAAAGAGGCAGCGGGTAACTGCACTGTACCTCTGATGCAGACAGGAATCTCCTGCAGCTAAGGTCCAGTTTTCTTTTTTTTTTCCCAGTTAGAGGTAGGTGGTTGCTTAACACCAGAGCCCTCCCTCAAAAGCAGCTCTCTGTCTTGGAGACATCTAAACACCTCTTCATAAACATGTCCTTTAGTTGCTTCTCTTCCCTGCCCTACCTCTCCCGTCGCTAGCCATCATCATTCAGCTTCAGGGACCAGAGAGGCAGTAGGAGCGCTTGGCTGAAGAGGCAGCATGTCCTAATGCTCCTTGTTTGCCTTTTGTCCTCACATAGATGCAGTGGAAACTTCTCTCTTGGCTTCAGCTGCAACAAGGGAAAGCTCTTCCCTTTTGAAAATGAGATGCCAAGAATCCCCAGTGGACAAGACAGGGGTGGGAGGTGTGGGGGGAATCATAAAGCCTTTTTAAGGTCTAAAAGCACCAGGAAAATTTGCAAAGACTTCACTACAGAAGTGTAATCTGTTGTCTCTTTGGTTTCTTGTGGTTTGCAGGCCCGCCTCAGGCAAGATGGGGATGTGATGCCCACCCTAGATATGGCACTCTTTGACTGGACAGATTATGAGGATCTCAAACCAGAAATGTGGCCATCTGCTAAAAAGAAAGGTGCTAAACCTCCCTGTCCTCTTTCTCAAGTCATTCTGTAAGGCTTGTCCCATGGTTAGTGTTCACAGATGTGCTGAAGGATGTGAGATCATAGTGGTGGGGAAAGAGAGAAAAAGCATGATGCTGATTGTGTTTTGTGCTCGGTTTCAGAATGTTTCTCATTTTGGATGCATAGTTTGAGGGCAGAGGAAAAATGATAGATGGAGGATTGAGAAATAGGGAGGAAATTAGACTATGAAGGTTTAGAGTTCAAACTCCTGAAGTTTGAGACTGTTTTTACCCTGGAACAATATAGTCTCCAAAATAAAAACACTAGCGTGAAATTTTCTATCAGCGTCTTTTCTTTCTTTTTTTTTTTTTTTTTTCTATAGAAAAACGCCGCAGTAAGAGTCTCAACAGTGGAAATGAAACCGTGACGGCTGAAGGAGAGCCATGTGATCATCACCTTGACTGCCTCCCAGGTCAGGATCAGCTTGGTAGAGTCATTTCTCCAAACATGAGATTGTTTGAAATCCAGCCCAGTTCTAGTACAAGTATCCTAATATCTAATACTGATAGAAAGTGGTATGCAGAGGGAAGGGCAGAGGCTCTCTAGGCATGTTGTGGAAACAGATGATGTCTGTACCATGGAGCTGTCATGGTTGTCACTAGTCCTACAAGGGAAGGGGATAAATGAGCTGTGCTGACCCTTGTTCCTGTGTTGCAGGCTCTTGCTGTGACTTGCGTGAACACCTCTGCAAACCACACAATCGGGGCCTTAACAACAAATGTTATGATGACTGTATGTGCACTGAAGGTGAGTTCAGCTCTTTGCTCTCCCCCTTCCAGCTGGTTTCATAGTTGGCTGCATTGACTCAGAATAGTGGTTTGTACGTGAAAATAGGAGCGAAACTGCTGCTCTTAGCCTTTCCCTGCCACTGATTCAAAATGTGACTGTTGAGTCATTTAGGATATCTTGTTTTCCCTCTTGAAAACAAAAATCCTGATATTTACAAACCTAACAGAAGAAGCCACAATATATTAAGACTTCAAGGGTGCTTTCAAGGATCACAGGTTATAAAAACAGACTACTATCCTTGTTTTACATGACCTTATGCCTAAAATGGCTTTCCTGAGTTGATTTCAACTGAACTTGTAGCAATATAGTTGGTGTGGGCAGGACACAAACTTTTGTTTCTTAAAACTGTTTCTGAAGAATCCACAGCAGCCCTTAATAGACAGTTGCATTATGAAGATGTTGAAAGGCACTATTCTAGTCTGAACATGTTCAGGATCAGCTCCAGGCATTGGAACTTGTCTGCCAGAACAAAACTCTGGTTGCCAATTTTTGTGACCTGTGTTAGGTACCTAGTGACTTTCACCAGGTCATTCACCTACTTTTTACTCAATTAAACAGACTGCTTTCCTGAAGTTGCAATGTTACATGATAGTCTTCACCTTGGGTGTGTCATGTAACACCTGAAGGTCCTCATCAGAGACAATGTTCTGATAGATTAGCCTAGAAAAGTGTTTCTGCAAGCCTAACGAGGCCTGCCCCTGGCCCTGCTTTATACTTAAGCTAGTTATAAGTTGATGCCAAATGTGCATCCTCTGTAGCATTAAAAAGATCCCCAGAGATGTAAGGTCCAGATAAGACAGACAAGACGCTTAGATAAGAGCAGAGCTCTGATCTTGTGTGCTCGCCTTCTGGGAGGCCAGACTGCCCTGGGGGGATTGGTAATGAGGGGCAGAAACCCAACTTCAAGGTAGCCATCTCAACATAGCCCAGGGACATGCACTCCAAAAGGCTGCTCAGTGACCTGTGACATTGGCTGGGTCTCCTGTGTAGAAGTACGCAAGGACAGTTTATGGGCTGTCTTATTATAAAAACTATAAATCTTCAGCCTCCCCCATTCTGGGGGTGCCGGCGCTGTTGCTATCTGCTGCCTGCTATGGAAGTAAAAATAGTTGCAGTTTCTAGGGTTATCAAATCAACTCCTGCCAACCCCAATGACCAGATCCTGGGCTACTGAAAACCAGGGCTTTCGTGAGAATTATTTACATGTAGGCTGTACCCTGTATGGCCCAACTAACTATGCATTCTGGTGTAACAAAGTCAGACAATAGACACCAAATGATGAATCTATCAGTGCCAGAAACCAATGAGTTACCCTGACCAGAGGCTCCCATTGCCTTCCACTGCCATGGTAGAATATGTACTGATGTTTTTTACAAATAAAATGCCTTTTTTACCCCCTTAGTATTCATCAATGCTATATCACATAGCTTCCTTCAGACCCGGCACTTCAAGCATCCAAAACAGAGAAACTGAAGGAGATCAGCAGTGAGCTTTGGATCAGACCTCCCAGTAATAGCACTTCAAAGTCTCTTCCTTCCTCTCTTGAAGCTTCAGGGAAATAAATAGCAAGGGGAGCTCCCTAGCCATTGCTGCTGCACATTAAGTCTATAGTAATTTCCCAATGGAGAGATCACTTAGATGGTAATGGGAAGTAATAGGGGGAAACCAAGCAGGGCTTCCATAAAATCACTGGAAACAATCAAGATAATTCATTGGTATTTCAAGAAGCCAGTGAAACCTTCTGCCTGAGCCAGTGAATCCCAAACCAGAACAGTGAGCCAAACAGAATAGCAAGGCCCAGAAAGCAATATGCCCTGCCCATGCGAGGCATTTCTCTGCCACCTCATTTGACACAGCCCAGGCTCCCCAGTCCTGGGACTGTCCCCACTGGAGCAGGCTCTGTCATGAACTGAGGCCAAGAGCTAATTGTTTGATGTTACTGCTGTAGTGAGCCCTGGTCCGTCCTGCTCAATTATGCGTGTCTTTTCCACAGGGCTACGCTGTTACGCCAAATTCCACCGGAACCGAAGAGTGACCCGGAGGAAAGGGCGCTGCGTGGAGCCTGAATCGGCCAATGGAGAGCAGGGATCATTCATTAATGTTTAGGAGGGTGGGACTCCTGCCTGGACGGTCAGCAGCTGGGGTCAAACTGTTTATACCTAGCAATGGGAATTAGAGGAAAAAGTCAAGAAAATGACTGAAGCTGCAGGCTCTAAACATATCAGGTTCCAGCAACACTGAGGCTCATGTTAATTATAAATAGAGTGGTCTCAGCCTTCTCCATATCAGGACTGCATTCCCCTTCCCTTCTCTCAGCACATTCCTGCCATTGAGCTGGGTCCCCTCTCCCAGTTAGTAAGAGATGATCATGACTAACCATTCTGATGGTCCTGGCAGAAAAAGGCTCTGCAGTTTCATCTCCTCCACAGAGGCAAGATGTGAAAGATCCTTCAGGTCAAAGGGGATAAAGCTTAAACTTTACCCCTTAACTATTGCTTGAGAAGAAAGGTAGATCCTCCTTAAGGATCAGAGGTTTCTAGAGGATAGGAAGCTTGTAGCCTCTAGGTGGAATCAAAGATGGGGAAATGAATCAGCAAGAAGCTGGCTTCCTAGGTGAGAGGGCAGAGCTCTTGCTCTCTCTCTTGTTCACTGCTACAGACAGATATTCCCTAGTTGTTACATACTACCACTTCCTATGTGTCTTCTTTGGGACCATCCAGTCCCACTCCTTCCTTCCTTGCTTCCAGAGAACCACCTGGTTTCTGCAAGGATGTGGCAAGACATCCCAGCCTGCAGCTCTCACTCATTTAGTTATCCCACCAAGTCTGTTATTTTTAATTATTACTTTTAGAAGCTTTCTGGGGAAGTGATAGTTTTCCTAGTGAGCCAAAAATAAACTTTTTGGTAACAGGAGATAGGGACAGGCTGTTCCATTGTAGTAAATCCTGTGACATGTTGCATGTGTGTTTCCATGATATGTAAATAAAGATATGATAGATATCCTTTGTGCAACCCTTCTGCTTCTTTGATTGCACCTAAGGATGTGGCAGGAGCCAGAAAGGCCTATAAGGGAGCTGGCCAGCAGGTAGCACTGATGAATTCAGGTAATCACACAGACCAATTTTGCCCCTTGGTAGAATAATTTCTCTACCCAAATTGGGGATCCAAGCTTCCCTGCATCCTCACTCAAACTGCAGCTAACAGTCAGCTTCTGCCTGGTGTAGCCATCCAGCCAGCCTTCTATATATTACTACTTAGTTTACTGACTTCAATGATATATCGGAGCAACACAGGCTACCTGTGTTAAATAGGAATAGTGTTAGTTGTTAAAGACATTCTTTTCTACTGCGAACACACCTGCTGGGAGATAGCTCTGAAGCCTTTTATATTCAAGAACCTGGAGATGTACAGCACTTTTTGTAGGAACAGAAATATTAATCCTGGTGCTGTGATCAGAATCTTCTTTACGCTGCTTGCCCAAACTCCTCTGTGTTCCATTTAGGTAGGCAATTCTTCATTTCGCACTCCTGTTTCTGTTGTAGTGTCACTCTGCATTGTGTATGCATTCAAATGCTGCTAGCATAATAGTTTACGCCTCTAATATGATGAGTGCCCAGTCATGACTACAGAGATATGCTATGAATACAGTATTAGCCCTGACCCACATACACCTGCACTGCTAGGAGGTACAATAAAGGAGAAATTTGTAAAGGAGCATTTAGGCAAAACCTACAACTGGGTAGGATGTAGCTATTTAGATTTCTGCTTACAGCATTACAGTCAGCTCAAAAGGCAGGAGTAAAGAAAGGTGGTTTGGCTCCAGCTCTATGCCATGGCAGCAAGGATGCAATTTGTTAACCCAGAAAGAGAAATGCAGCCCCTCCCTCAGCCCAGATGCAGAATAGTGGGTGGTGCTGCCAGTGGTATTGTCAGTGGAAGCATAAAGGAAAAAGGCCTTAATTGATCACAGCCAATTGCAGAGCTCTCAAACGCTGGTCTGTGTGACGCTGATGAGAACTACATGCACAGCCATTTTCAAAGCCAGGTTTTGATACCACACTGCTTTCCAGTATAGCAGCCGAGATCTGGTGGGAACAGTACAATTGAAAAAAAGCAGGAAATTTTGCAGGGATCTTTATCCTTGGTGATACAGGTATTCATTGCCCCACACACTACACACAGAATCCTTGTAGGATCCTGGGCAGTGTTTTGGGCAAGACTGTGTTGCAAATCTTGTGAAATACAAGCAGGCTTAAAAAGCAAGCCTGAATTTTAAGCCAGAGCTTTTAGGCTCCAAAAGGCTTCTTCAGCTCTTGCTTTTTCAGCTTTTCATCTGCTATTAACTCTGAATATAAAGAACAGATGATTTTTAATTGGTGGGATTAGTTAAATGTCTGTGGTCAGTGAAAATTGAGTTAATTATTATAAACCAAGTCACAAGATTATTGGATTGTTTGCTCACATTGGAGTTTCAGAAAGAGAGCCCATGACCAAGACTCATTCTTTCTGAATCAAACTGTGATGTTACAGAGGTGATGCAGAAAGGGTGAGCAGCACACAGGCACATGCTGCACCAGCCACAGCAGTGTGAAAAGAATCAGCCAGCCTGATTTATGTATCAGCCAGATCAGCCACTGACTTTGCAATTGCAGTGCGAAGGAAAGCTGTTGAGTAAATAACATGCCAAGGTGTGGAATGCAAGACCAGCCTGTGATATAAAACCCTGGGGCAACATTTGTACAACAAATCCAACCCACTTCTGAATGTAGCAAAGCTTTTTAGTGCCGCTCTGTGCTCTCGCAAGAGCATGACAGCAGCTGCAGAGCAATAGTATCACTGAATTACATTCAGCAGCTTTCCCCTCTCTTCCCAGTATCTCCCAGTTGCAATGCAGTCAGTGACAGTTCTGCCTTTGGGGGCATTAGGTCTGAACAAGAGAGAGGGAGACAAATGTCAAGCAAGTCTTGATTTGTATGTTCTTCTCAACTGATTGTTTGAGAAACTCAAATTAAGAATTCACACAAGCTCAGCTTCTTCCCTACTGCCCCCAGAGAACGTAAACCAGAGCTCTTGCAAGATTTTCTATTGTCTTGAAAGGACTTTGGATCAGGCCCAAACCAGCCATAGTAGGGCTCTGTGGAATAATTTTTGAAGTTAATTGTAGGGCATGTGTGCAAGAAAGGTGAGTGACAGAGTCCCACCCAAACTCCTGTTCTATAGCTCCTGCTGCTAGCAGCCTCACAATGAGTCCAAAGGGTATGCATCATTTTAAACTACTTCTCCAAGGGTGAGAATCATTAGACATGGAAAAGAGAGGACAGCGTGCTGATTTGACATAATCATCTCAGCAGCTGCCTGCTCGGCAAATGCTGTTGAATCTTGGGGATGTTGCTGGCATTTGCTAAAATGATGACTGCAAGGGAGACAAGGAGTGGAAGCACAAATTAAAACACTTGGGAATCATTTTGTCTCAGGTCTGTAATAGCCAGCATTCATTTTAGCTTGGGTGTGTTTTATTGAAACCCTCCCCCCACACCCCCAGTAATTACCCTGTTGTCAATCCACGGTGTGTGAAAGTGCTTCAATTTCAAACCCATGCTATACTAAATTGTTCAAGTCCATGCCAGTCACTCTCTGCTACATAAAGCCTGGAAAAAGCATTGCTTTCACATTTTTTTTTATCAGCAAAAACGAGGGCTGTTGTTTTCTTGGAATGTCCTGAGTGATCATATGTACCCCATAAACCTATTTTTGGTGTGTCACTTCATTTTCTAGAGTACCAGTGAATCTTCAAGAGTAGTCCCCTCAATGATATCTCAAAGCTCTAGTTAGATTTTAGAAAAAAAGAGGAGCAGTTCTTCCTTGCTGAGAATGGAAAGGACTTTGAAGTGCACTTGTCAAGATACCACATTAGTGTAACCCTCTCCACTTCCCAAATCATCTTGCCATAGGCTGTTTTGCAGTGAAGTTGCAGGAGGAGACTCCCCCACCAGCGTGACAAAATGCCTTCCATTTGCCCTCCAATCCAAATAATGTTTCTGCTTGCCGATTGCCCATTGGGGTTTAAAAGGGAGTTTGTAGAGCCAGGACAACTTCAATATGCCCTTCCTCAATGTTTATTCAGAAAGGCTCTATTGATAATACATGCATTTGTGCCAAGCTGATGCCTTCATTGCTCTCAGCTCCATAGCCAGGGGCACAACTCAAAGACACCGGTGCCAGCTGCAGTCTTTAGTTACCTTCAGACTAGACCACAAGTGAGGGATGTGAAGGACAGAACTATGAGGGGTGAGCTTGTCTCCATCACCATGGGCCAGATAAGGACAGCAGGAGCAATTGTATTAGCTCCTCTGCTTCCCCAGGGAATTGCTATCACCTTTCCCACCAAGGGTACAGTGTCCTGAAAATGCAAAGGAAAGCATTTCTGCCTTATTAGCCTCACTTTTATGCTGTCAGGAAGGGAGCCAGCTGTGCATTAGGTTTTTACTCAGTCTGCACAAGACATACCACCCATATATTTGACATAGAGCAGATAATTGCTGGATATTAGTTGCAGTGAGCTGAACTCACCTGGACCAGTCTTCTAGTCAAGAAAATCTCTGTATCCTGTTTCTGGTCTCCTGGGTCGTCTGCTTCTCCCTGCAGGTCTTCTTTAACTTGCTGCTTATCTTTCTCACCATGTTTATGTTGCTTTGAGTTATCCAGCCTAGGGAAGGGAACAGAGACAGCAGGTTACACACAGAGGCAATTTACAAGGTACAAGCAAAGCAAAGGAGAGATAAAAAACAACCAACCCCCCAGATCAGATAGGTGTGAGACGTTCAAATACATAATGTCTATCATAGCTCTCATTGTTTTCATATCTGTGAGATCATTAAGACATTTCTAAGTCCCTTGAGTCCACGACATGCAAGCCCAGGATATAATAAGCAGGGTTGAATTAATTGCACAATACATTGATGAACAAAATGAAGTAAGCGCTTTTTTGTACAAGGGGAAACAAATGCTTTGCATTAAACAGCAGTCACATCAATCCAAATTATGGCTCATGCTGCATAAATGGTAATGAGACTGTCTCAGACGGAGTGAGAATGCTGGAAGAAGCGAAGACGCCCACATACTGCTGCATCTAAACAGTGCTTATACTTAAAGTGGGACAGTGGAATATGTCTTTCTAACAAACAGTACTCCTTTGATAGGTACCTATCCTGGCAGAAGGGCATCCCTGGTGCACTTTGCATCCAAACACTGAGCCAGCAATGTGGCTATTCAAAGTCTCTCTTTATCTTTCCCCTCACCCCAGGTGTCACATCTTCTTTTTGTCATTTAGGGTAAAATCCAGTCCTTGACACTACTGGGGCCACTAGCACTCATCTCATTTGATGCCACTACTTCTGTGAATAGAGGCAGGGCTTCCCTGCAAGATACAGAAAAGGGAATGAAGTCACAGCTGATGTGGCAATAGATGAGTTATATTTCAGTCTTTCATCTCGTAAAGTGGCACATTCAGAGATTCCTGGGGGGGGACTTTTGCAGCCTTTTTTTTTTTTGTACTG